AATGATACTGTGTGTATGGAATTTATCATTCGTACTAGAAATTAATGTATCATAATGTTTTAGCCTTAAGCTTGACATGTTCTGACAACTTTTTTGTTTTGGTGATAGGGAAGTTTTGACAAGTGCAGTTAATATTTTTAAAATTGACTTTCCACTGGATGATCGAGTCAGTGTGTATCATTTTATATATTTTGCTGCAGAGACTTGCTTTCACCAAATGTTGACACTTTTATCTGCTTGTGCGTTTTCAGGGAAGCATTGGTAATTGGACTAAAACCCAGTGGAGACAGATTAATGTGCAACAGATGGATGTAGAGCTCAGAAGGTTTGCCAAGGCAAGCTCCATAACTGTCTACTCCAACAATTTATCTTTCTCAGCACCACCTCCTTCCATCTTCCCTAACCTAGTATCTGGTGTGTTGGGCTGCATGTCCTTATTTACTTCATGTAAAATATCATCAGATGATATTTTTTGTCACTCTCAGCCAGTTGCACTTCTAATCAAGCCTGCCTTTCTGTGAATGAGTTGATAAAAGCATATCAGGGCTAATGAATTTTTGCAAAGCAACTATAATCACAAGCTTCCTATGGCAGTCTAGAATGGACAGGAAGANGTGTCCCCCACCCAATTATCCCCCCAGTTATCTCTGACCCCCCCATCCCCCTTTCCCCACTCCACTTTGTATCCTTAGGTATGTTTTGATTCTTCCATGCATATCAGCTATTTTTATTCTTAGTTCAGGATGAAACTTTAGGTAATGAGCTGACTACCCCAAATCCTTTTGGGGCATTGTATGAAATATAAATAAAAATATGTAAATACATACTACACATGTATGGTCACCTATGTATACAAACTCATGTATACACCTATGCTTACACTTACGTGTGTGCATATATAAACAGCTCTTTACTAAAAATAAAGTTAATTCATATGTGGTTAATTAAGTAAAATCTTAAGTGTAAAAATAAATTCTAGGTAACTAGGCATATTGAACATGTATTTTACACAGTTGAGAGCCATCTAAATATGTTAACGAGATATAAAATATGGTCAAGAAATGGTTAATGAGAGTTTATAATGGATGAAAATTGTCTCATGAAAGCTTA